CAGGGTCGTCCCAATATGCGTTTTTGCAATTTGCATATAGGCAAAAACGCATAAAAAGGAAATGAACAATTTCCGTTTAACGGTCGTTCTTTGAAAATGACTTAGCTGTTCAGTGAGCAGTTTTTCTGTCAAAACTTTTACATGCCTGTACGTGAGAACCACGCACGTTGGGGCTGAATCATTAAATTGTACGTTGACAGCAAACATTTCCTCAAAATTCCAGCTTTTCTGGTTCCCGAGTTAGTAATTTTCCGTCAAAACTTTCACATACTCGTACACGGACTCAGAAATGCATGAAGGCCGGCATCGAAGTCTTGGGGTGATACTTGGCCGGGAAACCCAATGGCAAAATTTCAGCGCTAAAGCTCGCTTGGTTGCCGAATTGAAATACCCGAACTGACACACATACGCACCTTGAGCCGCCACAATATGCGTTTTCGCATTTGCATCTACATGCAAAAACGCATAAAAATGAGTAAACCTAACAGAACACTCCAAAACTAAGAGCCATGCAGACGGGAGAGCACTTCTGGTGTAAAGTGGAACAGGCATGTACGACATATGTAAAAAATTATACAAGGATCTGTTTTCGTTACACGCTGCCATTCCTAAACTTTCAAACCTCGTCACCAAGCAGTATTCTTTTGTGTTTATCAGCGAGGGTGGACAGACTCCTGGCAATAATGGCCTTCGAACCCATCAGAGCTGTTTAAGAACTCTTGCGGTTCGGGTACTGGTTCTAGAAGTTACTGTGAGAAGCTTTTTAAGGAGCATGCAGATAAGAATTTTATTCTGCAACTGTTTTGATGCAAATAGAATTAATTTTAACATGAACTGAACTGAAAATTAAAATGTCCACGCGATCGTTTGTTTACTTCTGTGATCGCTGCAAAAGCCAGGTATCCGGAGAGTGCACGTTTTCACGGTTTACCTGTTAGGTAGCGGCAAAAACTGACCACTGCCAGGACACACTTTCACAAGTATTTTTAATCGTACCATGCGAGAGCAAACGAACAAGGCGTCTTGCTGTTCATTTTCCGTGTACACCTGAGTTGCGGGAGTTACATATGGGCAGGAGGAATGAGGCACA